AAGAGCGAAAAGACATTTGAAGAAATGGTGCCTGAATGGGCACAAGACTACAAGGATCTCTTCGAAAAGGAAAGCTTTGACGAATTACCCGCTCCAAAGCCCTGGGACCATGCAATCGAGCTAGTTCCTAACGCTAACGCCAACTTGGATTGCAAGACCTACCCTCTTGGCCACCAGGAACAACAGGAACTTGACAAGTTCCTAGATGAAAATCTAGCAAGCGGCAGAATCCGTCCCTCGAAATCCCCCATGGCTTCCCCCTTCTTCTTCGTTAAAAAGAAAGATGGGAAACTCCGCCCAGTCCAAGATTATCGAAAACTCAATGAAATGACCATCAAAAATCGATACCCATTACCTTTAATCTCAGAACTAATGGACAAACTCTGGGGCGCCAAGTACTACACAAAGCTTGACGTACGATGGGGATATAACAACGTCCGCATCAGGGAGGGAGACGAGTGGAAAGCCGCGTTCCAGACCAATCAAGGACTGTTCGAGCCAATGGTCATATTTTTTGGGCTCACGAATTCCCCCGCTACCTTCCAATGGATGATGAACGACATCTTTAAGGACCTCATCTCCACTGGGAAGGTAACAATTTATCTCGACGACATCCTGATTATGTCTAAAACAAAAGAGGAGCATCGGAGCCTGATACGAAAGGTGCTATCCCTGATGAGGAAGCACAAACTATTCCTCAAGGCGGAAAAGTGCGAATTCGAGGTGCTGGAAACGGAGTACCTTGGGGTGATCATCAGCGAAGGAAGCATCCAAATGGATCCAGTAAAAGTGGCCGGGGTCACCGAATGGCCCGAACCCAGCAAGAAAAAAGAGTTACAATCATTTCTTGGGTTCACAAACTTTTATCGACGATTCATCCGCGATTACAGCAAAATCATCCGCCCAATGACACAGCTGACAGGAAATGCTCCTTGGGGGTGGGGGCCCTCTCAGCAGACCGCCTTCGACGACCTCAAGCGATGACTGGCGGAAGACGTTATATTGGCTATCCCAACGCAGGAAGGGAAATTCAGGGTCGAAGCCGACTCGAGCGAGGGGGCGATAGGAGCTGTGCTGTCTCAGGAACAGGCCGGAAAGTGGCGGCCTGTAGCCTTCCTTTCCAAAGCCTTAACCGTCACGGAGCAAAATTACGAAATTTACGACAAAGAGTTACTTGCCATCATGCTCGCTCTAGAAGAGTGGCGACACTATCTTATTGGAGCCGAGGAGATATTTGAGGTTTGGACGGACCACCAAAACCTACGATATTTCCGGCAACCACAGAAACTCAATCGACGACAAGCCCGCTGGGTAACGGAACTCAGCCAGTACCAGTACACTCTACATCATAAAGCAGGAACGGCAAACAAGAAGGCCGACCTGCTCAGTTGGCGATCAGATCATGATCAGGGGGGAACAGACAACGAAGGTGTAACATTGTTAAGGCCGGAACACTTCCAAGCCATGATAATGCCAACGGAGGAAGAGATACATGAACAGATCAAGAGTGCGACCCGAGACAGTCACAAATGGGACCAACGAGTAGCCCCTTCTCTCAACCACGAACGGGGAATGACGAAAGAGGGAGGCCTGATCCGCTACGACAGGCGCATCTACATCCCCCGAGACCAACAACTTCGGGGCGAGATCATTGCCACCTGCCACGATCACATAACAGCAGGACACCCAGGTATTGCCAAAACCAAGGAACTCATATTACGAGAATATTGGTGGCTGAAAATGGGGGCCGATATAACAGCATACGTAAAAGCTTGCGAAACCTGTCAACGAGGAAAATCTTCCACACGAGCCCATGCGGCACCACTTCACCCTAACGAGATCCCCTCGACCCCGTGGACACATATCTCGGTCGATATGATCACTGGTCTACCCGAATGCAATGGGTATGATGCAATCCTCATGATTGTGGACCGCTTTTCCAAAGCAATAATCCCAATTTCATGTTCCACAGAACTAAACTCCGAGGGATGGGCCAAAATCCTCCGGGATGAAGTCTATGCCAAATACGGGATGCCCCAAGTCATTATCTCAGACAGGGGCCCCCAATTCGTCTCAAAGTTCATCACCGACCTATACCGCATTCTAAACATCAAACAAAACGCGTCCACCGCCTATCACCCTCAAACGGACAGACAAACAGAACGCATTAACCAAGAGATTGAGAAGTACCTACGGCTCTTTATCAACTACCGCCAAGATGATTGGACCGAGTGGCTTGCTTTAGCAGCCTTTCAACATAACAACCGCATACATTCCACAATGGGGAAGACCCCATTCTTCATAAACCATGGCCGTCATCCATACGTCACTCACACAAACCGACTCTGAACAACGACACCCACGTCATCCGACTTCGCGGCCGATATGGAAAAAATCCACAATGAGACAAAGGCAGCACTAAAAAAGGCGGCATCGACGATGAAAAGGAATTACGACAAGCATCGATGGTCAAGCCATGTATACCAGCTAAACGACAAAGTTTGGCTGGATACAACAAACCTTCACTTACCACGTCTAAAAAAGAAGCTCGACGACAAGTGAACAGGGCCTTTCACTATCATCCAAACTGTCGGACCAGCCGCGTACAAATTGCATCTTCCTCAGACCTGGAAAATCCACAATGTATTCAATGAAACACTATTAACCCCCTACATTGCACCCACCTTCCCTAACCAGGAACAACCACCTCCCCCGCCACCGGACCTGATCAATGATGAAGAACATTTCGAAATCGATCAGGTACTGAACCACAAACTACGAAAGGTCAAAGCAAAAGGGGGTGGAATGACGACAACAACTGATTACTTGGTCAGTTGGAAGGGATACGGCCCTGAGTCTAATCAATGGGTGAACGAAAAACATATGAATGCAGAGACAGCCATACACGAATACAAACTATCCCTTAATTAAACCATCGGGACGATGGTCTTAACGAGGGGGTAATGTTACGATTTTTCCATTACTTTCTTCTTTAACCCCTATCCGTGCTTAGTCATGGTGCTAAAGGCAAGCGTCTAGGACCATGGGAAAAGGCTTAGTCAGCACAACTGGCCAAATTCACCATTGTCTCTCGACGAGG